TTAAAAGTTAACATAATTATATAAAATTTAATAAAAATAATATCCTTAAATAAAAAATGAAATTGACATCTTTATTTATATATTTATTTTATTTTAATTAAATATTTAGGTTAAAATACCACTTGTACTCTTTAAATATAATTTTTATTTAATTGATGGATAAAAAAAATATAAGTAAACATATAAGTTGTGCTTAAACTTTTAATACGAGAAAAAAGAAATAGAAAAAGACTATCCATTGTGAGTGGAGGTGGTAATAATTTAAAGTAAAATATAAGAGAAATTTAGAGTGAGTAGGATCATTTGCGAAGGGAGTGAGATGCTGCAACAAAAACCCAACAGACGCACTCCCAAAAAGAGGAATCAGGAAAAGGCCACCGTGGGCTCTGTCTGGGCCCTCATGATTCTGTGATCATTTCAATCAGTGTTGCTAGAATCAAGACCCTTCCTTACTAATCATCACCGATTGATTCATCATCTCCTTTGTTTCTTGAGAAAAAAACTGTAATTAGGGGAGAATATGGTTAGCAGCACCAAAACAAAAACAACCGTAAATCAGGTGAATTTTCGTACTTTTTCACCTGATTTTACTGCTTTGTTATTTGTTTCATTGATAATCTTAACAAATTTATTGGTTTGCAATAACCATTTCCTGTGATTGCATTTGGAGTTAAAATTTTTAATTTTTATTATAAAAATTTGGTATTTATGCTACATAGAAGGTATGTTTATTTATTATTTTTTTTAACAGATTACAATTTGAAGAAGGGAGATTGGAATTCCAACCCTAGGGTTAGAGAGGTGTAAAAGACATATAACAATCGGACTACAATTTAAAGAGTATTGTTGGAGAGTTCCTCACTACAACTCCTCATATTATTTGGGGTTAAGCCCACAAATAAAAGCCTGGACCGGGCACTTGCTTCAGGACATTTTGGTATCTTATGTTAATTTTTTTGGTTTGCAGTTTAGACAAACTTCAAGTCGCAATACTACAACCAGCTAACTAAAATCCCGAATATAACTTAACAACAGTGAATAACACAATCTCAAGTAGATGAATTATGAAACCTGGAAGTTGATTTACACTTAAGCTGTCATCTTCTGCATCCATGAGCACAAGGCTGATGAAATGCAGAAGATGATTACTCG